CAGCCCAACTTATTTTTTTTTTATTGCGGTGCACCTATAGTACAGATAAGCGAACACAAAAATGTATGAGGCATGTTTGTGCATTTAGCAGTGCGGCATTCATTTTACAGGGCCTACACAACTAGGTTAACAATCATGCTATATCCTGCTTATTTTTAGAAAATGTACAAAGTTGCACCACAACTACCCAGCTGATACACATGTACGCCATCACAAATGCTTTACAACCAATGTGAAAGGGCATGTAGATACTCCTACTCCACCACTGTACATGCCTACTTCAATTTTCTCCACATGGTATTGAGAATTTAGTGTAATTCCCTTCCATCACAATATAAGCCACCCTTTAGACATGAGTTCCATGCTAAATGAGAGTTGAACACATCAAGTATAGGGTTTTTTTTTTAACACAATAAAAAAAAAAAAATTATAAATAAAAAAAATTTATTATGACAATAGGGCAGCTCAATATCCAAATTCCTTAAAATTGCACGCTACATCCTTGGTGAAACAGCCTTCTTCAGGCATAAGATGGAGAGGGCATCTATCTTAGACATTCAGAGTATCTAAAAAGAAAAACTTGTATGAATCATTACAGGAGGAATGTATTCTATGTACTCTAAATACATGCACAAAAGACGCAATTGTTTGAAGTACAACCTTAATATTAAGCTTAGAGACCTCTTTGATTATAAAAAAAATTTATTCAAAGTTAAATGTTTGCATTCAAACAAATGAATATTCCTACAGTAACAATGTCCACTGTACTCTGCTCACTAAAATTGTTTTTAAGATCAACTTTCTCATACAAATTTTGTACAAGAGCTAAACACAAAAACAGAACTAAAAAAAAAAACTTTCATCCACGAACGCCTCTAGACAAAATCTTTGCTAGTACATTCCACGCCATCCAGCAGTGCCCATGCTATCGTGCTGCCCAAAGTAGCCCCCACTGTTTCCAGAATTGCCCCTTCCTGTGAAGAGAATATTTTATAAAGTTTTTAGTAACATGGTAAAAAGGAGGGTTCTAATAAAAAAATCCTATCTGCATAAAGCACAACCCCCCCTCCTTGTGTTCCAAGATCTAGAAATCATGTTACATTGAAATATTGGTCAATACATTCGAGGAGTTATAAATCATTGCATTGAACCTAGAATTGTGTATATGTGGAGTCCTATACTTTGGTCATACAATACAGTTTTGATGCATTTACTTAACATACAACAGGGGTGTGTAAAACTACTTGTCCAAAGACTAAAGCGGGGCCCAAGATACTTGTCCTGATGCAAAAAAATTATTGTAACCAAAACCTTATTTAACCATGCAAAGCAGCACTTCTTAATGGTCAGCATGGTCACCTGATCAATGAGTGCTCGCAAATTCAAAATTCATAGACAGGGCTGTGCTTGACAACAGTATGGGGTACAGATAGTACACCTGTATTGGCGAAGGGGGAAGGATCATACGCCGAAATAGCGCTGGGGGAGTGAATGTGGGGAGAGGGTTGGCCAGATTTGAGCGGGTAATTCCATTTCTCAAATTACTTGGACAAAGTGAACTTACCCTTTAACGCACATTGTGCATGTTAGAGAGCACTGCTTATTTACATGCAGATGGCAGCAGGGCTGGGGTTGGTTTACATTTTTTTTTTCCCCTTTTACTGCCCCCCCCCCCCATTTTTTTATTTTATGCGTTTATTATTTTTTTTCACCTAACTTTATTACCATCACACAAGGGCTAACAAGCCCCTATGTGATAGTGTTTGGAGGTGACAGATTCTCCCTATTGAATCGGTTCTACAACACAGGGGGCACAGTGAGTACAGCACTCCTATCACTTAATAAAAGGGGAGAATGGGAAATGGGGTAGGAGGAAGTTACCGCAGATTCTAGTGGCCAGTGTATAAGAATTCTAGGATTAAAATTACTCTAGATATGTGGAATGCATTAGCCTGGGCTCTACCCTGCTCCTAAAGAGATGTCAGTATCCAACTGCAATACCCCAGTACCAAGAAATTTCACCATTGCTAAACTCCTAAAATTGGATTGAGAACTTTGAGACACTGACTCGGAAAAGGAATCTGATCACAAAAGACAGCACTCCCAATCTCCATACTTGCTCCAGATTCATGACTACGGAACTGAAGCCAATGGATCCACGATAGACAGAGCATCTTATTTGAAGAATAAGGGGAGCAGTGGCAATTCCAAGGATACTAATAAAGGAGAGGCAGCATCAGGGTTAC